TGAAATAAATGTACCTTCAGACCCGAAAGTCTACAGAAAGTTTGTTTCTGTTGCTTTGTTTTACTCTCCCTGATGCTTAACCCATCAGAACTTGTAGGACCAACAAATTTCTTTGAATTCATAGTCAAAATCCAAACCTCCATTAGAATCACCATCCACTTTTTGACTACATAATGCTTGACACTCAGCCATAACATCCCATTAAAAATATATCCAAATACGTATGTGCATATGTTATATTTGATTCCTGTTCTGAAGCAGTCACTTTTACAATATACAAATTTCTATTATTTTATCTCTTGAAAGCGGATTTCACTAAGTTGGGTTTATAGTTCACATTATTTTTGTTGTATTTTATTTTTCTAACAACCATGTTGCTTTGGTTCATGTTAACAAATTTATTGAACTTTATTATGTTATTTTTTATGGTTGCAAATCAACTAGGTGTTTTTTATATACAGATGTATTAATTAAAATGCATGCTAATAGTCTAGTGCATTAAATTCTGTTAAAATACACTGATTTAGAGCAGCTTATTTCAGATTGTTCAATGTTTGGTTGCTATAGAAAATCAACTGTATGCTAATTTTATTTTGTGATGACTGCTTCAGCAAAGCACATTCTACCAGAAACTGGTCAATCTGATATTTTTTTTTAGATTTAGCTGTGGATTGATTTTTTTTTCTCATATTGTTACTTAAAAAGCCTAATCAACACATGTAGAAAGAAAACGGAAATGAGAGAACATAAAATGGATTCTTTTTTTGCTTTTTTTTTTAAAGTACCATCCCTTATTGCAGTTAATATTTAGTATTCTGGATATTCATTCGGCCTAATTTTTTTCTTTTTTGTTAGCAGTTCTTTTTTTATCGCTATTACATGTTCTCTATGCATGGTAGCAGCTTTATTAATTCATCATCATTGATGCACAGAAGTTATTGTTTCAAGAAATCATTAGATCTTTTCCCATCATTTAGAACACATCTAGTTATTATATTTTAACCTCCATTGACAATGCATGTTTAAAATCTTATTTATTTCAGATGCTTTGTATTTCTCTACATTGAGGCTTATTAGTTGTAATATTTCTAAAAGCTTTGATTCTAACAGGTCTAGAGAATCACTGGCAGTGGAATTGTAAAACATTTCTCCTCATGTTTAGTTATAACACTCTATTTTTATATTTTGTATAGGTTTGGCAGTTTTCACCAATTATTACATACTAGTAATGAAACTTTGGCATAATAATATTCACTAAAGTTTTTAAAGAGAGAGGGCTTAGTATTTTTGTCCTATTAGCTCAATATCAGTTTTAGTATGTACTATTAAAATATTTAAAAAGTATTGTTATGCATTTTGAACATTAGATTGAAAAAATGTATAAAATGAGTTCTTGTAAAATATTCAGTGCATTTTTTAAGTCATTGTAGAAAGAATCTTTTGTTCCATTCTGCATGGATTAAAAAAACATTTGTGACTAATCTGAAAGGGTTTACAAGTCTCAGTAAGATTTTTAGAGTTCTAAAAGAGACATGACTATTTTTGTTATTAAAGTTACTAATTTTTTTATGTGCCTAATTTTCTTTTGTTTTTAATTTCAGAATTCACATTTCCTGGATTTGGTGTTGATACATGCAGAAGTATGGTGGCCATGCATGATGTATCCTTTGACAATATTGTACACAAAAAAAAAGAAGCTCTGACATGTTGAAGATTTCATTTTTTTTAAATGCTGACATTCACAAATGTTATTTTAAAAGTTCACATGTCTTGAGTCCTGTTATTTAGAATTAATAATCTAAATTAGGCATTTTATCTTCCTTAATCATATGTCAGGGTGACCTATCTGGAAAACTTGGCTATGATGAGTTTAAGGATCTTTGGGAAGATCTGAGAAGATGGAAAGTGAGTTTCATTGTTCAGTTTTTATGAAACTTTTAACCAACTCTATTTTGTTTATTTCCACTTAATGAACATTATTTTTCTGTTTAAACAAGTAACTTTTAATTTGTTTTTTTAGAAATCTGTTTTTCCCCTGTTTAAAATCTCTTCTTTATTCTCTCATGTTCCCAGGGTGTGTTCAAAGAGTTTGATAAGGACAAGAGTGGCAATTTGTCGTCATATGAACTCAGGAATGCTCTAAATCATGTTGGTAAGTAACTTCATTTTCCAAAGCCTGTCATTAGACTGTTAATAACTTGAAACATTATTTGAATCAATGCTTTGCTTTCTACCTTTAGTTTTTCAGTGACATGTTTTACAATCTGGCAACTCTTTTTATATCTAGGTTTCCATATCAGCAATAGAACATTCAAATCATTGGTTATGCGTTATAGCAATAAAAATGGCCAGGTAGACTTTGGAGATTTTATCATGTGTACCATCAGGTTGAAGACAATGCTCAGTAAGTGAAATCTTTTTTTTTTTATTAAGTGTTTTAAAAGTTTTTGAAAACAGATTTAGTATTTTGTATTCAATGAAATGAATGATAATACTATATTGAATTTTCAAAATTATAATTAGGTTTAATTTTTTTACTTTATTTTTTTTACTACAAGAACTATTTTCTTTTCATTTATAAATCTACACATCATTTCCATTGTGCATTTTAGATGCTAAGCAGCATCTGTCAATTAAACACAAAGTTAAGCAGACAACATGATCCAGATAAGATGGAAATATTTTTTTAAACAAAATAAATGTTATCTTTTATCAGCTTCCTTCAGAGGTCATGATCCACAGAACACGGGTTTTGCTCCATATGATATTGACAGCGTAAGTATAGACCAACTATAGCATTAGTTACCATGTTTTGAGTATCAGAGCTTATATTTTTTGTTTTTACTTAAAGTTTCAACCTTTACAGAATATTCTTATTAAAGCCATTGAAAAGAATGTTCAATGCCATGGTTTGGATGATAAGCAAAGGTGCCCCAGGCACTCCAACCTACAAAGTGTGCCCCTAATTGGTGCACAAGTTAGAATAAATTAGAAATGTATTAATGATGTTTTTTAAAATACCATTTAGCTTACATACCTACAATTGCATATCTTAATGAATAATTCATTTCTTTATTTAATTTTTTATTAAATTTTTTTTAACTTTTTCATTTTATCTATTTTCTGTTAAATTATACAAGCCTTTCATTATGGCTCTTTATATACATTATTTTTTGCAGTATATTTTATGTGTGTGTGTGTAATGTAAAATACATTTCCTCTAGTATTTTTATTATTAGAATTACTCTGATAGCACAGATTTTGGGCTCGGTGAAGGCCCCAACTGGGCCAGCCCATACTAACCACAAGGGCCCCATTCGGGGGATGAACAGTGGCCAATGGAGTTCCTTAGGGCTGAGATTGGGCTTAGTCAGGGGCCCCAGAAAATCTCCTTGTGGGGCCAGTAAAGGGAAGAACTTGTGGGCCCCAACAGGACCAAAGATACTTAGCTCTTTGGGGGGGAATTAATGAAAGCCAAAACGGGAGCCCTAAAGGGGCAAGTCTGGGTGCAATCAGGGGGCCCAGATAAAGCCCTCCCTGCCAGGGGCCAGTAAGGGCAAACATTGAGGGGTCTTATCAATCCTATTACATATAAAGATCTCATTAATATTGTTTGCTGAAAATGGCACCTTGTAAGTGTTTAGGCCTTATTTGTATGTCAGTGACAATTTCTTTATTAAATGCTCTGTAATGTTTCTTTTGACCTTTTTTCTTTTTTTGTGTACAGTTTATCCAAACCACAATGTACTCCTAAAAAAATAACTCAAGAATTTGTCAGAACTAAAAAGTTCAGAGGTCAGAGATGATTTACTACATCAAGAATCAGGTGTCTTCAACTTTTTGTATTTTTTATTTTCATTTGGTTTCTTTAGACAAACTGTAAATCTCTTTGTGAACTCATTTCCATGAATGCATGTTGCTTCTGTAAAAGTGTTTTTCTTTATGGCTTTTTATATTAAAGTTACATTTTTTTTTTATATACATGAATATATAACAGCGATAATTGTTAATTAAAAAAAAGAAAATCTCTCTCTATATAGGTGTTACGTAAATACCTCATTGTATATCTAAGCCACAACTCATATGTATAAGTAACTTGGAGCCTTGTTACTCAATATATAAATCATTGACAATTTCTTACCTGAAGAGTTGTTTTTCTTGACTGGGTTTTTAAAAACCAAGACTTTCAGTTTGCATGTGTTCTACTTTAGAATCTCAATGACTTTGTCAATCATTTTTTTGTTACATACAACTTGGGAAAGTGGAGGTTTTTAAACCATGTTAGTGGTCAATAGATATTTTCAAATTTATATCTGGCACTAGAATTTAATTTATACATTAACCACTTAAGAATCATATGTAATCCAATTGTTACATTTGGAGACCATTTACATCTTATGTAAAAAGACCATATACAGTTCTAAATCATATATAGCTCAATAGTTAGGTTTGATTTGAAAGATGAACATTTGAAAGATTTCATCATTGCAAAATGAGTTCATTGTTTTAATCAATTTAATTACCAGAGGTTAAAGTCAAAGCTAGTTCTTGGCTAAAACATGTAAATAGTTCAATAACCTTCAGTGAAGATTTAGTTGTCACTAGTTTTTGTTATCTTGACTTGTCTCACCTGATATTATCAGCTATGTCCACACTAGTCAAGGAAATAGATAGCAATCATAGGATACATACAATGTAACAAATCATTTTCAGTTATGTAGGCCTATATTAGCTAGTTCTCAATGTAATTCTCTCAACTGACAACTTTAAGTCTTTTTCTTGATTTTGTATTTCACATTTCTAAATATTTTTCTCTGTTAAAAACTTGTTTTGGAAATATTTTATAAACTTTTTTTTCTATTGTACAGGAAAAGGGATAAAATTTCAAAGTCAAAAACTAGTTTTGGAATAATGGATGTTTTTGATTCTGTTTTGTGTACACAGTTTATAAATAACAAATGTTTTTATTCTTATGAGCTTTCATTTAAAGTAAATCTATTTATACAACTTATTATCTTAATAATTTTCATTGACTTTTATACTATAAATTTATTGTTGTGATAACATATTTTGAAACCCATAGTGATATAATGAAGACGTTGCTTTTCTGTATATTGTTTCTTTATTTTTTATTTTTACATTGATTCATTTTTTTTCATTATTTAACTCTCTAGATGTACATTTTTGAAAATCTCATTCAAAATGTTTATGCTCTTTTTCTGTCACAGCTCCAAACATTGTTTTCATTGTTTCCATATCTAGAAAAGAAAGATTTCTCAAGATGCTGTGATATCATGGCTTACATATCAGTACTGTAAGCCATTAATTGCACAGCACTCCATTCATACTTATTCAATTGTGTTTCTCTTTTAGTTCAGTATTGCAACCATCAAGGCTGCAATTATGAAACTTTTTCTCAAGTCCTTTGTTTTAATTTCCCTTCTAAACCATGTGCATTTATCAATGAAATAATCTTGTTGGTCTCTTGGTGATGGTTTTGAACAAAGTATTTTATCCTAAATATTTGTTTTGCTTTGTTGGTGTGCAGAGACTTGACTAAACATGTTTCATCTATTCTGAGCTAAGATGGCATGTTGACTAACCTTCATGTTTTGACTTACCTTCATGCTTTGACTTACCTTCATGCTTTGACTTACCTTCATGCTTTGACTTACCTTCATGCTTTGACTTACCTTCATGCTTTGACTTACCTTCATGCTTTGACTTCGACATCTTTCTGATTTTCTTAACATTTGACATATATTGGACATCCAATACACCAATCATTTTACATTTATGTGCATTTTAAAAAAAAAATATAAATTGTTTAGTAACTCCCTAGAAAACAAGCTTAAAGAATCAAATGTAACTCTTTTAGTGCAGCAGTGTTTCTCAACCTGGGAGTGATCACTTTGTAGAGAATGAATGTGAAAATGATACTGAAAACTTCTTAAGAAGAAACTATTGTGTATCAAACATGGAAGGGAGGTTGAGAAAGACTAATTAGAAATGTGACATTGTGAGAATATTTTGTTCAACTCAATAATTTGCTCCTTTAGTAGTTATTTGTGTATTGTGCCTTAGCAGAACAAGTTTCTTTAGGGTCAATGTGCTTTTGTTTTTTTAATCAATTAACAATAAATAATACCCTTCAATTCATGTCTATAATGTGTGCAGTTTTTTCTTCTGCTAGTGGAATCAAAAACACACCACATTTTTAACAAATTGAATTTCAATTTAATAAGTTCACTGGGTTACTAGGGACACAGTTGATTGCATGAGACACAGGAGTAACATTGTCTGATCAACTTCAAAATTAAGAAATAAAACATAATGATTAATATTGTTTAATAAAAGATCAAAATATGAACTTCAACATTTGGAAATAAAATATAAAGCAAAATATTGGAATATGAAACTGGGAATTCCAAAATGCTTGGGTTTTAATGTTCAGTTAACTGGTTCGGATTTTTTTAAAGATATTCACAGGACTATAATAAAAGGTGGGGGTGTGGTCGCCGCGTGGTGGCTGACTGGTAAAGCGCCTGGCTTCCAAACGGAGTGTAATTGGGTTCAAATGCTGGTGAAGACTGGAATTTTAGGATTGTAGAGACGCAACTGTACAAAGTATGTACAAACTTTTCACCAGACGGGCTTTGTAAGGATTATGTAGGCCAATACGCGTACGGGTTTTAGACCTACATAAAAAATGAAATTAATAAATAACTACTCGAACATGGGTGGTAAAGACTAAATTTAGTCAAACTTATCAGGAACAACAAATATCCGAAGATTTTAGTTTTAATTTTAACACCAGCTAACAATTTTAGAACTTCCATGCAGTGGCGTCACTAGGGGGGTGTGGTCCGCACCGGGTGACACTCAAGTAAAAAAATGCACTTTGGGAAAAACTGACAATTAAAAAAAATTAACGACAGTGGATATATATTGGAAAATATTATTCTCAATTAATAAATACATCTATAGAAGCTCTAGCCAAGATGAAGAAGATGTTACAATGTGCCAGTCGAATGATTTACTTGAATATTTTAGGGGATTTTGTTTTCTTGGCTAGTGCAAATTTTACATGATTTTCGAAGAACATTATCCAGAGCAAAAGAAAAAGTACGCCAGTTGTCAAAAGAATGGTTCTGATGGAGACGATTTAGTTTTTTAATAGCCAAAAAAAACAAAACCTGTATTCTTTTGTTGTCGACTATTTTCAACTAATTGTATAGAAATTTATGACCTAATTTCATTAGAAGTTGAAATAAAGTCCGAAATTAGAATATGAAAAGACGTATGAAGATATGGCATCCAGCTACAAATACAATGGACAAGGAAGTCGTGGCTATGATTGATGTAAAGAAGAAAAACAAGGGCATCCAGCTACAAAAACAATGGACAAGTAAGTCGTGACTATGATTGATGTTAAGAAGAAAAATAATGGACAAGGAAGTCGTTGCTATGATTGATGTTAAGAAGAAAAATAATGGAAGGATAAATTGCACGGACTGTTTCTATAAAAGCAGATTATTTGACATTTTGTTATCATATTAACAACGAGTCTTTATTGAATAAAGATTTTCCATGAGATGATGGAAATGTTATGTAGATAAAACCCATTGCTGAAAGTACATCTGTCATGTTACAAAGTGGAGAAATGTTTTAGCAAAGACGTACAAGATATATATAGTCAGAATGAGTGTGTTAGCACCTTTGTAGTTTGTTTGACATTACCTGACATAGCACACCTGACCTGAAGTTCAGGGGTATGAAAATGTAGCTTCAGTGTCTAGAACAATGGAGGAGTACAGGGAATTATTCAGAACCAACAGAAAAGCTATTTAATAGATGTGTATAACATTCACTAAATCACATTCCTCTTTCAGAAAATGTTTTTGCCTAGCATTTGTTTGGTACAATCGAATACATTTTTCGTTCTGAAATTATAGCCACTAAAGGTTCACCTTAAGATCTTTTATTTTACCTATCTTTAGTTGTTGTTTTTTTTTGTTGTTTTTTTTTTGGTGGGAAGATATTCTAGAAGGCTAAAGATACATAAATATTGACAATGTGGTGACTAATTAAACCTTTTCATTATCAAAAGCATAACTTGTTAGCGCAAAGTGTTCTAAAAAAAGGCTCATCTAAAAAAAAAAAAGCTGTGAATCAGAAGAAAAAAACAACAAAACAGAAACTGTCAGGCGAGCAATCAACAAGTTGCCGGATTCACTATTTAAGAAGAGAAAAAGAAGTTCATTCTTATATGCATTAATCTTTTTTTTTAACGCTTAGCTTCATCTCCTTCTGGAAGTAGCAGATACATTTATAATGATAATAACAATTTTATTTATAAAACAAACAAAATGTAGGCTCAAGGCGCTGTAATAACATTACAAACACGAGAGCTAAAATGACAAACTAATCTAAAAAAGTTTTAAACAGGTATTTGGAGCAATCCAACCAAACTGACCGACGAATTATTGTAGATGTCAGTTTCAAAACATTGGCGTATATGATGATTCAAACAGACATAAGAAATCTATATTCAGTAAAAGTTATTTTTGAAGAAAATAAAAAATCGACAGTGCACAATTCATATGCTACTAGGACCTTAAAGAATATCTGTAAATCCTTTAACAAAGCCTTCAAATATTTCTACCATCTGCACATATTCATGTAAAAAGGGATTTTAGAGACAAAGCAATTAACAGCACTTTAACAACTTGTAGTTTTATTAAAAATGAAATCGTTAAAGACATAAAATTTAATAAAGTTAATGATAAGTTTTCAAATTTGAATTCCAAAAAAAAATAATTAATTTACTTATGGTTGCATTGTTGCAAATTTGAACAATAGATTAATGACAATTTCTGTTTGGGACCCGTCAACTCATGAAAACAAGGAAACTGGAACAGACAAAAAATAGAGCAGTGAAAAAAATTAAAAAAAAAGAATATTCACATTTGACTAGAGTAACACCTTTAGTAAAATCAGTAAATTTAGAAAGCCTGGAAAATGATGAGCCTTAGCCAGCAAGGAAAAACCAATGACTTGGCAGAATTTAAGTCATTGGTTAACATGCATGACTAGATGCATGAGGCGTAGGACGTAATCATTTTCTTTGTTGAAATAATGTCTGTATTACATAAGATAAGATTAATGATGAGTGCAGAGTTTCAATATAACTACACAAACCCTATCAACTATAGATAAATTGAATTTTAAACTGTATTTTAACAGTTAATAGACACTCATTTTAAATTTGTTCAACAATCAAATAACGAAGGTACTTATAAACTATATGTTTTATAGTTCAACAAACAAACGAAAAAAAAAACAGGATTTTTTTAAAGGGGGGAGGGGTGACACCCTGAGCCGACCGCACCGAGTGACACCCACCCTAGTGAGGCAACGACTTCCATGTTTGCTATTCAAACACAACAGGGAAAAAAACTACAAATAGCTGAATAGTAATAATTAGAGAAGTCATTTACACTGCACTAGCCTATAAACAAATATATAAAAAGCACTAAATTACATTTATCCTAGCACTAGCCTACACAAATAACAGAAATACAAAATACAAAATAGTTCTGGGAGCGCCAAGACTTATTTTTATCACGAAAAAATGGATCACTGTGCAATGATTTTATAACTAAATTAGACATAATTACGTAAACTTAGGCATAGGTCCTTCTGTGCCGATCGAAGCATAAAATGGTAAGCTCTTTCACATAGATAGGTCTTAGGCGACTTCCAGAGTCTCTTAACAGAGGATGCCCATGGATTTAAATTCTTTCAAGATGTCGCGGACGACATTGTTTTCGCTTTCCACTTTTCTGCCTCCATGTTATGGCTAACTTTGGTACATGTGTTTCGTTTTGTCTAGTAGATCTATTACCTTTACCTTTACATATCCCTAAGTCAGATCGTTGGGACACTATGCAAGATTTGTCGACCGTCTTTCTCTATTCCTCTCTGTCTTTTGTCTCTTTCAATGACAGGCCCGTGCACTCTTTTATGTTTTCTTCCCAACACTTTCTCTGTCTGCTTCTTCTTCTTTTTCCTGGTACTGTTCCCTGAAGGAAGATCTTTGCGAGTCCCGAAGACCTTGTAATATGGCCATAGATTTTTAGCATGCATTTTTTTTTTTTACGATAGTTAGCAGGTCACCATTGGGTCCAATCGCGTGGTGTAACTTTAGATCGCAAACTAAAAATGTGTGAGCACATCCAGGAAGTTGCAAGAAAGGCCTCATGGAAACTTTGCATTGTGCGGAAGTTGGCATTCACGAAGTGGGGAGCCCGAGCAGACATGCCCCGATCATTGTATTTAGGAGCAATCCGATCACAGATAGACTACAG